AAGGCAAACTGGGAGAGTAAGGAATAGTTTACCTGTCAGATCTACAGAGAACAGAAGAATTCATGGCCAAACAGAAGATAGAGAACATTATGAAAAGCAAAATGGATAATTTTGATTACATTAAATTGAAAAGTTTTTGCACAAACAAAGTCAACGCAACCAAGATTAGAAGGAAGGTAGAAAATTGGGAAAGAATTTTTACAATTAGTCTCTCTGATAAGGGCCTCATTTCTAAAATATATAGAGAATTAAGTCAAATTTATAAGAATACAAGTCATTCCCCAATTGATAAATGGTCAAAGGATATGAACAGAAAGTTCTCAGATGAAGAAATTAAAGCCATCTATAGTCATATGAAAAAATGCTCTAAATCACTATTGATTAGAGAAATGCAAATCAAAACAACTCTGAGGTACCACATCACACCTATCAGATTGGCCAACATGACAAAACAGGAAAGTGACAAATGTTGGAGAAGATGTGGGAAAATTGGAACATTAATGCATTGTTGGTGGAGTTGTGAAATGATCCAACCATTTTGGAGAGCAACTTGGAACTATGCCCAAAGGGCTATAAAAATGTGCATACCCTTTGACCCAGCAAAAGCACTTCTAGGGCTATATCCCAAAGAGATCATACAAATGGGAAAAGGACCCACATGTACAAAAATATTCATAGCAGCTCTTTCTGTGGTGGCAAAGAATTGGAAATTGAGAGGATGCTCATCAATTGTGGAATGGCTGAGCAAGTTGTGATATATGAATGTGATGGAATACTATTGTGCTATAAGAAATGATGAACAGGCTGACTTCAGAAAAACCTGGAAAGACTTGTATGGTCTGGTGCTGAATTAAATGAGCAGAACCAAGAGAATGTTGTACACAAAAACAGCCACGTTGTGTGATGACTAATATTGATAAACTTAGCCCTTCCCGGCAATGCAAGGATCTAAGACATCTCCAGAAGCCTTGTGATGGAAAATGCTATCCACATCCAAAGAAAGAACTATGGAAGTTGAATTGCTATTTTTTTTCTCTTCCATTGAGTTTTGTTTCCTCTTTCTGATGGTCCCTCCTATTTGGTTTTAATTTTTATTTACAACATCACTAATGTGAAAATATGTTTAATATGAATGTAAATGAATAGCCTATATCAAATTGTGCACCATTTTGGGGAGGGTGATGGGGAGGAAGGGGGAGAAAAATTTTAAACTCAAAAACATATAGAAGTGATTATTAATAAGTAAAAATAAATTAATAAATAAAATAAAATATCAAAAAAAAAAGACAAGATGGTCAGAGTGGAATTTAGGGCATCACTGAGGCCAGCCCAATGTAGTGGACTATGTAAATTGATGCTCAGGTGCTTCTCCATCCTGACAGCATGGGAGCCTAGAATGGGAGATTCCAAGTAGAGTGGGTGGAGCCTCCAGGCCATGGCCTCAGGAGGTCTTGTAGGAGTTCAGTAGCAACACAGATGGCAATAAGATGGCCAAGATGGAAATGATGACAACTTCCTCCCTTAGAAGGGAGAATTCATTGTTACAATGACCCAAGGATAGAATCACAGAGTGGGCATGAAACTTGGAGGTCTTCTAGTCCTACCAAAATGGGATTTGGTATTCCATGGTCTTTTTGTTCCCTCCTACATGCCAGGCAGGTGTGAAGGGAGCACCACAGCTGCTATTAGCCCTTGCTGGATGAGGGTGTTATTTGGGTAGGAAGGACAAAGGAGCCTGGTCTCTCAGAGAGGAGGGATGTGACAAAGAGGATTGGATTGAGAATTTTAGGGGGGAGCAAAATGAATCAGGAAGTAAGGAGCAAACATCAACTACTTCATAGCAACTCAGAGCTTTTTTCAACTCCTTGGCCAGCATGGGACCTGAGGAAACCTTCACCTCTTCTGCAGAGGGAATAGATATGTTAACATTTCACACCCTTTTAATTTCATACCCTGGAGCAAAGCTTTGATCACCACTGGATGGCTAAACTAACCATATTTCCTTTTTTGATAGAGTTACTTATGCTGTTAGATTTGGGGAATTTCAGAAACATTCCTTTTCTATTTCAGTAAGACATTTGATCATCTTTCTCTATAATCTCGTGAACAAGTTGCAGAAATATCAACTGCACAGTTGGATTCCTCTCTGATGTAACAACTGAGTTCAAGGTTATAGATTAATGATTTGGTATCAGCTTGGAGGGAGGCCTTTGTAACATGCCCCAGAGGTTTTTATTTGACTCAGTCCTAGTCAATATTTTTATCAATAATTGGATGAAGACATACTGTGGATGACACTATTTATCAACTCTGTGCATGACACAAACCTGGGAGAGATGGTGAGCTGATATAACATATGGCAGAATTGAGATCCCAGAAATTTGGGCCAAGTCTAAGGCAATGAAATTTAATGGAGGTAAAAAGAGCTGGGTAGCTAGGTGGCATAGTGGATAGAGTGCTGGGCATAAAGTCAGGAAGACTCATCTGAGGTCAAATCTGGCCTCAAATGCTAACTGTGTGATCCCGGGCAAGTCATTTAACTCTGCCTCAGTTTCCTCATCTGTAAAATGGGCTGGAGAAGGAAATGGCAAATCACTCCAGCATCCTTGTAAAGAAAACACCAAATGGGGTCATGAAGAATCAGACATGACTGAAATGACTGAACAACAATGGAAAAAAAAGAGCTAGATGTATAAATGGAGAGCAAGGTCATCTTGTCATACACTCTGTCACTTTGGACCCCGCTTTTCATTTACCTGGAACCATATCCTGCTCTGAGTCAGAAACTATGCCTTCAGGCTGGAGGAGCTAATCCACTCAGCTTTGGAGCTCTCATCCTGTGGCTAAGCCATCTTGATCTGTGAATGAATGTGTCCAGAATCACCCAGGCCAACGTCTCTGGCCAGTCCCAGAGGAAGCTTCCCATCCAGTCCAGCCATCCACTCAAGCTCTCTCACCACCTGCCCTGCTTCTGCATGCATTTCCTTCACCTCACCCCACCCCCTTCTTATCTCTTACTCTGGGCATAACAATGAGGTCAATGCCATCATTGCTTCTGGAATAGGAGTGTTAAATAACTGTCCTATGGATGAACTCCCCATGGCTGTGCATCTCCTGAATGAAAATATCTTCCCTGGTCATCTCTCCTTATATGTACTGTCTCCTTCGTTAGAATATAGGCTCCATTTTTTGGTATTTTTATCCCTAGGGCTTAGGACAGTTCCTGACATACAGTAAGTGCTTAGGAAAAGTTTTTTTTTTTCATTCATTTATTGACTATGAACCGAGAGAGTGAAATGGCCACCTCAAAGCTGCATTACCTTTGATTCAACATAAGAACAATTCTCTAAGAATTTGAGCTGTTCAGTGAAATGGATTACCTTGTGAGGTAATGAGATTCTCAGTATTCAAAGCATTCAAGCAGTAGCTAGAGGCTCATGAATTAGGGATGTTGCAGGGGCAGTGTCTGCATGGCATAGAAATAAAGCTACACAACGATTGAGGTCTTCCAAGTCTAAGACTTTATGTTCTTATTCAATTCAATTTTGTTTGCTCCAAAGTTTCTACTATCTCAATGAAAATTTGTTTGGATGGTTTTTGCTATTTACGAAAAATGAAAATGGCCTCCTATTTCAAAAAAAATCAAGAAACTCCTATTCCCAGAATGTTTATTGTGTGCCCAGAACCGTGCTTACCATCCACCTTCCATTGGCCTTGGTTGGAACTACTCACTTGATTAAGAGAATAAGTGGGACATTGGGAAGATGAAGGGGCCTTAAAGACAGAATCTAGGTTCAGATTGGATCTCTGATGCTTTCTACTTAAGGAACCTTGGGTAAATCGCTTCATTTTCCTCAGCCTCAATTTCCCCAGCTGCAAAGTCAGGGAATTGGAATAGATGGCCAGGGAAGTCCCTTCTGCATCTACAAGCCTATGAACTTACCATTGTCTCCAATTTCCCCCAAGGATATTTTCCTTATCTGTGACTCTGTGTGTGTGTGTGTGTGTGTGTGTGTGTGTGTGTGTGTGTGTGCACGCGCGCGCGTGTTGGTTTCTGCCAGGTGAAGAGGTATTACCTCTTACCCTATTTAAGTAATTTCCAACCTGGGGATAGAATAAATACCTTTAACTCACTACGTCCAAAAAAGAACTCATCATTTTCCTTCCCTGTTCCTAACTTTCCTTTACTTTGGAGGGTGCCACTGTTCTCTCCGCCACCTGGGCTCACAACCTACCTGTCTTCCTGGGCCCTTCTTTCTCTCTCACCTCCACATCTGTAGACTGTATCTTAATAATAGCTAACATTGGCATGGTACCTTAAGGTTTGCAAAGCATTTTAAAGTGGATCTCATTTGATCCTCAAAATAACCCTGGGAGGTAGGTACAATTATTATCCTCATTTTACAGATAAGGAAATTGAGGCAGAGAGAGATTAGGTGACTTGCTCAGAGTTACACAGCTAGGAAGAGTCTGAGGCTGAATTTGAACTCAGGTCTTCTAGATCCCTGGCCTGGAGCTCTACCCACTGGACTCCCATTCCAGTCCACCCTCCTTTCTCCTTAATCTTCCTAAAGTGGGTTCTGACCAGGTCACGCCCTCAGCCCCCACTCAATGAGTGTGAGAAGCCTCCTAACACCGCCAGGATCAAATACAAAACCCTCTGTCTTGAGCTCTTTATGATCTGCCCCCTCCTACCTTTCCAGTCTTTTTACACCTTACGCCCCTCCAAGGACTCTGATATCTGGTGACACAGACCTTCCTGCTGTTCCTTGAACAACACGTTCCACGTTTGGGCTCAAGACATTTTTTCTAGCTGTCCCCTATGCCTAGAACTCTCTCCTTCCTCACCAACAGCCCTGTGCTGCCCCCTCCCCCAGCTTCCCTGGCTTTGCTCAGGTCTCAGCTAAAACCCTGCCTTCTACAAGAAGACTTTCCGGATGCCCCTTATTTGTGGTGCCTCCTTCCCTCTGTTAATTCTCTCCAATTAAGCCGGTCTGTACCTTGGGTGTTCATGGTCCTCTCATGTTGTCTTCCTCATTAGACTATGAGGTCCTTGAGAGTAGCGACTGTTTTGTGCCTCTCTTTGTATCCCTCCCCAGCTCTTAGAGTAGTGCCTGGCCCATAGTAGACAATAAATGCTTGTTGACTTGACTTGGCTTGAAATCTGGTTGGACTGGTCATCTGACAAGTCTGAGCTAAGACACCCCTGGGTGCTTCCCAGCAATGAGCTTCAAGATCAAACTGCTGGGCTGTGCTCAGAAAGAGTGTGACACCATCCGATTTTCTCATGTAACTCATGGCAAATCAACCTCAAATGGGCACAAGTCCTTGCCACCCCGAGCCCTCCATCTCCACATTGCTGATAAAGGTAGATTCACCTTGCTAAGTAGGAGGAGTGACAGCTTGTGGCCTCTGGTAGAAAAGACCATGGAACTCTTCCTATAGATGGAGGTGCCAGAGCAGTGACTGTGCACACACTGGCCTCCCCAAGGCAGCCTCCTCCATGACCAAGGAATAATTTGTTTTCCTCTTGGCCAGCTGAATCCCAGAATCCCAGCACTTTAAGAATTGGGAGGGATCTGAGAGGTGGAGTAGCCAGGTGCCTATGAGTAGAGTACTGGCAGAGAGAGATTAGGTGACTTGCTCGGAGTTACACAGCTAGGAAGAGTTCAAATGCAGCCTCAGACACTCACTAAGTGAATGACCTTGATCAAATCATTTAACCACTATTTTCCTCAGTTTCCTCATCTGTAAAATGGGGATAATAATAGCACCTACCTCGCAGGGTTGTTGTGAGAATCAAATGAGATAATATTTGTAAAGTGCTTAGCACACAGTGCCTGACTTAATAAATGTTAGTAGGTGCTTAATAAAGGTTAACTGTTATTATTTTTTATCATCATCACCACCACCATCTAGTCCAACCCAAGCCTGAACAAGACATGCCCAGCACGTGGCCATCCCACTTCAGCCTGGATTGCATGAGGAATCAGGCATGAATGCAAAGCATCAGAGCTGTGCTATGGGAGAGTGTTACTGTTCTTATGCTCCTAGCCCCTCTTTCCACTTCACTCTAAGAACCCCACTAGATGCACTGATAGTCATAACTTGCTCTGCTTACAGGTTAATTAGTTCAGGATTTTCCAGCTTACCATTATGAGTGTTTCCCTCATTATGTTATTTCTCTTACCAAATACAGGGTGGCATAATAGGAAAAGAAGGGGAGTTGGACACAAGAGGCCTCAGTTTGAATCCTGGTTCAAGCACTGGATGAATGAGGTTCAGAGATTTTTCATCTTCAGATATGGATTGAATTAAATGATGTCTGAGGTCCCTTTCAATTCTGAGTCCTGATTATCTTTGATGATGTTATCCTAGTGATTCACCTTCTAGGGCAGCCAGGTGATGTACTGGGCTTGGAACCAGGAAGCCTCATCTTCCTGAGTTCAAATCCTGCCTCGGACACTTACTAGTGTGTGACTCTGGGCAAGTCACTTCACCCTGTTTGCCTCAGTTTCCTCATCTGTAAAATGAACTGGAGAAAGAAAAGACAAACCACTCCGGTATCTTTGCCAAGAAAACCCCAAATGGGGTCATGAAGAGTCTGAAAGGACTGAACAACAATAGCAACATGGATTATCCAAACAACCAAAGGCTTTTCTACATGTAGACAACCTTGGTGTCAAGAATTACCTCCTACTTGAGATCCCAGGTATGACTTTGGAGGGCCTCACACACAATCTTTCTAGCTCATCCCTCAACTTAGGAAATCCCTGGGAACATGTGGGAAAGGTCTCACCTGCATGAGGAGAAGGGACTTATTTGCATGCCCATGATATATAAAATAAGACTGGTACCAACAAAGGACAGGGTTGGTCTAAGGAAAATAATCCATAAATCTGACATTACTATAGAAATGGCTACTCTGGCTGACCTCACTAGATTGTAACTTCCTTGAAGGCAGGGAATGCCCTACTGGTCTTATTCCCCACAACATTTTGCATTTGAGAAATATTTGTTTGAATGAACTGGTGTCATCAATCTTTGAAGATCTAGCTAAAGAAACCCAAAGCTTTTCTTAGCCCTTAGATGTGGGGGGAGGAGTGGAAGAACACAAAGGGAAACTTACACTTTTCTTTATCTGTTTTTCTAGGCTTTATCTTCCCCACAACTAAAGGCTGAGTTGTGTTAATGTCAGTTGTAGCCAGTTAACATCAAGATTAGCCAAAGAAATGCACACATACACACACACACACACATGCATCTATGTATATATACATACATACACATGTATACATTTCTCTACATCTATATACACATACATACATACACACACGTATACATCGTCTATACACAGACATACATACACACATATATCTCTCTATGTATATACATACATACATACACACACACATACATCTATGTATATACATGCACACACATACATCTATGTATATACATACATACAGATATATACATACAGAGATATATAGAGATATATACATACACACATACATCTCTATATATGTATGATGTTTTATGTATACATATACATACATCTCTATATATGATATTATATACATATACATACACATCTCTCTATATATGATGTTATATACATATACATATACATTTACATATACATACACACATACACTTCTGAATGAGCCAGTGATAGACTTGAATATAGGTCTTCCAAGTTACAAGGCTGGCTCTCTATCCTCCAGGCCATGCTGTTTCTCTCACTGGTTCATTATGGTGCTAATTTAGCGATATTCAATTTCTCACTCAACATTGCTACCCCTAGGGCATTAAGTAAAAAAAGTGTAGTGATAACAACATTTCAATTTTCTCTTCATTCTTCCTAGATTCAACTTGCACCAGGCTTTCCTAGCCAGTGTCTATAAGGAACCTGGTTCTGTATCCATGAACCAGAATTTGAACTATACATTTCTCCTCGTAGGCTGGATTGCATTGGGGAATGTGGTTTGCAATAATCTGAAGCTGCTGCCTGATGTGGAACCACAGCTTTTGGACATCAGTCTTCTCCTAGTGAATCGATGAGCCTGAATCATGGGAAATCAATAGCTTCAAAGAATCCAAATTGTAAGTGACCTAAAGAACAACAGAAAGCAGGTAGAACTAGGCTACAGCTGGTTACCAATGACCAGTGGTGAGCATAAAATGCCATCCATGGTATCATACAGGAAAGCTAGGACCAGAAAAATGAGCGGGGCGGTCATGTAGCAAGAACCATCCATAACAAATGGAGAGCCCATGTGTCGCTCTGACTGCCCAAAATAGTCAGAGAATCAGAGCATTGAATAGACCTTCTGTGGAGTTCTCTACCTTTTCTATTAGTTGGCAGCTAAGTGGCACAACGGATAGATTGCCAAGTCTGGAGTCAGAAAGATCTGAGTTCAAATTCAGCCTCTGACACTTATTAGCTGTGTGATCTTGGGCAAGTCACTGAACCTGTGTTTGCTTCAGTTTCCTCATCTGTAAATAAGGATAATAACAATGTTATTACAACAGGATTGTTGTAAGGATTAAATGAGATAACTTTAAAGCACTTAGCACAGTGCCTGGCACATAGCAGGTGCTATATAAATGTTAGCAATACTGATGCTGCTGCTGATGGTGGTGATGCTGCTGCTGCCAGACCTTTTGGTCCCTGCAACCAGCTTGCTCCTTCCATTGGTGAGCTCCTGCCCAGAACCTCCATTTGAGGACATTTCTGGGCCAATCATAGTTTATTTCTCTCCCAAATCTACTCCTGATGCTCATAATTCTCCAAATACCCTCACCTGTGGAGAGGATTTCTTGCCTGGAGTGATTCTAGGATAGATAGATAAAAGAGAGAGAGAGAGATGAATAGATGATAAATGGATGGACAGATACATGGAGACGTAGATAGATAGATAGATAGATAGATAGATAGATAGATAGATAGATAG